AGGCCGCGAAAACTAACGTGCAGAACTTTTAGTAAATACGGTAAAAAACTAGTACTTATAGATTATTCTAAAAGAGTAGTTCCAGTAAATTATATGTTGCCTACAACAAGGCTGTCTATTACGATAGTTGAGCTCGTGTAATGTTTTGCTTCTGTAATAACGACCAAATATACCTAGGTCTTTACAACATTGTTGAAACATAGTTTTAATTAAACAGAATTGTATTATAGAAAAAAACAGATACCCTAAATTGCAAATTAAACATTTAGATTCTTGGTAATTTTAGTGCTGATATGTTTTTTATTAAAAGTATTAATGCTATATTTTATTTAGAATCGTAGATAAGATCTCCCTTTAATATTATTTTTAAACTAGTTAACCATAGACAGCAATGTAATTACGTAAACTTTATGGTAGATTATGAAATACTTGGTACCGAAAGCAATAGAAATGAGATCAATTTCGTGAGCGAGTCCCATCAAACTTTTTTTTTTATAATGCAATATCCGCGGTATTAAGACGTTTGCAAAAGGCACTTCTAACGATGAGCCGTTATGCAACACTCACTGGGACAAGGCTCTTTGATCGACGTTATATGGATAGAGATTATCTACCACTCGACTTACCTCGTCACTACTTTAACTATAAAGCGATTTATTAAAAAAAAGACCTCCTCAATTCAAATTAAAGAAATAAATTGAAACTGAACCTTTCTCGTACTTAAATACACTTGTATCAAAGGTTTTCATACCTTTCTTTGTATTTACAAAGTAGTAGTACAGTAGCTGTTGTCCGCGACTTCTTCCGCGCAATATTAAGATAAGAAAGTAGCCTATAATATCCCCGTCTATAACTAACACGGCTTGAGGACAGACAGACAGACAGACAGATAGACAAAAAAAATCTAATGGCGATTTTCGTTATTAGCAACGCAAATACATCATCTTCCCGAAATCTGGAATTCTTCATATTACAGACACTCCAATTCTATTACAAGTATAGATGACAGGTACATATCACAAATGTTTCGACTGCGTCTTCGTTCGATAGTGGGTACACGCGATGCGCTGGTAACACAGTGACCGTCATATCGCCTCCCACTCGCTGACATAACGGGCCGCCGCTCACACCGTTACAATGCGCCGCGTCACATGCACTAGCTATACGTCCAGGACTCACTCAATGTGACCGCACGCGCAGTTCAGATGTATCATAGAATCATTAGCAGATACTACGATTGCGGTGGTCAAATTTCAAGTAACAGGATCCTGCCTTATTGACGAAAGATTTTGAAATTCTAAGTGAAAGGGAACTTTAATTCCTTAACTTAAGAACTTCTAACCAATTCTAACTTGGAATATCTAAGGAAATGCTAATGATGCTATTAAAATTCGCAATATATCGGAAATGATCTTCCTTTGAGTGTATTTGATTACGTCACGTGCTAGACGATCGCAAATATTACTTAGTATTCTCTACTTGTTTAACTTTCTACAAACACATATATGAATATAAATTAATATTTATTGAAGTAAAAAAACATACTCGTACGTCTTTAACCCAAATTGGGACAGACAGTCTGTACCGAAGTCCGTTATTATTCTCAAAAGGAATAAGGAAAAATCAAATAATGCAATTGGTAATTCCCTTTTATTATATAATAATAGTCGACCTTATCTATAAAGATTTAGATTTAGTTCATTAATCTAAAAAGAAAACAAATGAAAAACACGTTTAATTAAATACAGACAAAGTTTATAAGGCAAAAGATTGTCTTTCTTTGTTGTAGTTGGTCCATTTTTGACCGCATCTTATGTAGATCAAGGTGGTCCTACCGATTTTATAGCCAAACCAACAATATTTTATGAAATAAAACTTACAAAAAGTTATTATCAAGCGACCAACTACGTCCGAAGTCTCTATAAGGAGTTTGGATTTGTAGTACACTGGGACGAATGGAAATCCGATTGATTGCATTAAGTTATTAATCTATACTTCTATACTTATATATCTATATCTATCTATACTATGATAATAAAGCGTAAACACTCACTTCTTTGTTGCCTAAGATGTCAGCAATTACAGCATAATTTGAATAATTCCTTTTTTATTAACAAGCCCTATCCTTACGTCACGCTTTAGACTATATATTTTCACGTCATTAAACTTACGGGGTAAATATTTTGGATAAAAACCCTAATGTAGGAAAGAGACCATAAGTTGTTGCCAACGTCAAGGAAGCAAGAGTTTGTCATGTCTTGTCGTTTTGACATTTGTGTTAAAAGTAAACAATAAAATAAAATTTTCATAATTTCATGCGGATGTTGCCGCATGGTATCAGCTAGTATCTAACTAAGATCGTATTCAAATTAGAGCGATCATCGTTCAAATCGCTTTGTATTATTCGCAAAAAATCCGGTTTACATTCGCAACTGTCCGCCTAAACAACTTGACCAATAGTTAAGCAAACGAAATTAATAGCCTAGATAATACCACAGTACTGTTAGTGTTTACTATGAATGGTCCAGTTTGCGCCGTTCCACTGGCGTTGGTCTTACGTAGGAAACCGCGCCCCGGGACAATCTGACATAATATCCCATTGCAATCACTTTCACAATATCGAATTACACTTATAAGGCTACATAATGAAATGCAATTGAAAAATACTTTTTCTAATGCTGGTTTAACTTGGTTATAAATAATTTTGCAATATGCATTTAATGTACCACAGACTAATAACTTGAGAAAAGTATATTTTTACTCGTATAGTATGTGAAATAAATTTTAATTCTATCAATAAAAAAATATATAAAGAGGGTTACACATTGATTATGTGGTTTAAAATAAGAAACTGTGCCAGAAAATCACATAAAAAATCTGTTTAGTATCTAACGTTTTTTTGATAAAAAAAATACAATGATGAAATAATTGCGTGCAATTATACCCTTGATTCATATTTATTTGAAGAATAACCCACTTTCGCTGTACAGTTTTAAGTGACACAAATAATAATTTGATAATAATAATTCGAGAGCGGACTCGCAAGGACGTATCAGTCGGTCGGCGCCAACGCTCGACCGCGACACGTAGCAACGAGCCTTGCTGGCCTACCTGAACATTATTGCTTTACACGGTATAAGGTTGCTCGGTCAACTTATCGTGTTACTTTTAATTAAAGACTAATTGAATTTATTAAAACAAAACAACAAGATAAAGCCTGCAAATCCGAGGGTCCAGAGTTAAATGGGAAACTATAATATCTGTAAACAATATAAGCCTCGAGATTTGTATGTATTGAAATAACTCAATACTGGGCATATTTAAAAAAATCTTTCACCATTAGAAAAGACGTTATGGCTAAATGATATAGCTAATTTTTTTTAATTATACGTGGACGAAGTCGCGTGCAATAACTAGTATGTAATAAGGATATTTTTCATAACAAGAATTTTCTCCCAATACTCTTAATATCGACTTGTTTCTGCACAAGTCAAAATAATGATGTCTTGTACCAATATTAACTTGGTTAACATATTGAATAGTCGAACTATGGTCTATTTCATGAATAGAACGCTTAAGGCGAACAATATTAAGGTGCCTATTATTCACGTCACATACGTTGCCAGTCTGATTTAGATAACAGTAAATTAGTACAGCAGTGCTGCAGTGTCGTAAGTCGAAAGCTCGATAAGACTGAGCCAAATGCACTAAACTGTCTATAACAATGTGTAGGTTGAAATACTGTTAATGAAGAAAATATGGTATTTAAAATATTTTACTGCTCCACAGTTTTATTCATCATCACCAGCTCACTATTAGTCCCCACCGAGGGGCTCGAAGATACCCTAAGTTAGGGTGACTAGGCCATATTCAACCACGGTGACCCACTGCGGGTTGGTTGACTTCACACATATCTTAGAATTTCTTCTCCGATATGTGCAGGTTGCATCACGATGTTTTCCTTCACCGTAAGAACATCGGGTAAATTATGTGCATATGAAAATTCGAAAAATCAAAAATCACTCTGGTACATGGCAGGATTCGAACCCAAAACCTGTAGATTATAAGTCAAGTGCTTAAACCACTGAACCACCAACGCTTAACAGTTTTATTAATCTGATCAATTCCACACCAAGTTATGTTTCAACTGTAAATTGCAAATTCTTTTTTCTCTCTCAAAGACGTTCAATTATGATATCTCTAGTTCAAAATTTAGAAACAAAAAGATTGCATAGTATTATTACATCTTTGACTAGCTACACCATTTTTCTCAATCAAAAAGTGGATCTTTTATCGCCAGAATGTTTAATTGTATCGTTATGTAATTTTAGATGGAACATATCGGAACATTTCATTGTAGATGGTTAATTGTAAATGTCGAAATTCCATTGTCGTGTCCTGCTGCTCGTGCGAATATTGCAGTCCTATTGTTTCTATTATAACATTTATATTGCGATATTGAAACCAATTAATTTATTACCTACCACAATAAGGAATACTAACACTCTTTTAAGTTTTATTTATAAGTAGTTTTCACGACTGACATTTTATAAATGCTTGTTTAATTAATTTATTTCATTTAAAATATTAAATTATAATAATAACATTAAATTTAGATAATCTGTGCCCTTTATGGTCACGGTTATGTCTCTACCTTTACTTTAACATTTTAATTTCGTCCAAATATTTTATTCTACAAAATTGTTGAGTGAATAATCGTTTAAGCTTTAACTATAAAAGTTTAGTAAAAAATTAATTACGTACCTACTTTTGTGTAAATATTTATAAATCAACTAGCTTTCGCCCGCGACTCCGTCCGCGTGGTAATAAAAAATACAAAAGTGGGTACTCTGTGTTTTTCCAGACCATCCTCTACATTTATACCAAATTTCATCGAAATCCGTTCAGCCGTTTACGCTACAAACTCTAACAAACTTCCTAAACTTTCGCAGTTAAAATATTACTATGGTTAATTAAAACTATGATTCCGTTGATTTCAGATGCGGCGGCAGGCTCGGATCTCAATAGGAGGCGCGCTCGTTGTGCGTTCCGCTTCAGCTCTCCAAGGTGATCATCGTTTACATTTACTTATTACTTGATTAAGGCCGGTCCCACCATTGGCTGATAGAGGCCCAGATAGCTTATATCACTGTCAGATAGAATAACAAAATCTAATATTTTCATCATATACACACACGTTGGATTGTTATCAGACAATTTACAATTTGGTGGGACAGGACCTAAATCTTATAATATTTAATTTCATATGTTGCGACAGTGACAAGTTGAGTATGATACTTATGAAATATGCAGTAGGTAACAATTCGGAAGTAAGCTACCATAAACTTACAGAAATCTACACATGTTGTTAACATAATGCTAATATGTCAATAGTTAACTGGGGAATGCTCGTATGTGTGTGAATAGTAAATACTAATAGAATGCATTTTATGTTACAGTTTGGCTGTGGTTGCTGATATTTGTATTCCAGAATGAATTCAGAATATCAAGGTCCATTCAACCAGGCGTAAGAATTAATTATTTTATTACTCTAAAAACTTGTATCTTTAATGTAAATCTTAGTAAATAGTTTCAATAATTTGTTTATCTTCGATAAGAGAATGAAAAATGAAATTGATTTCTAAAACGTTAATTTGTTCTTATATACTTTTCAGTACTTGGACTTTGACAATCTACCCGAGACAAACTTTACATGCGCTGGCAAAGTTATCGGTGGATATTACGCCGACTTAGAGACGTCATGTCAGATGTTCCACGTGTGCACTGTCGGCCAACAAGATGAGCCGATGGATATAAAGTTCCTTTGCCTTAATGGCACTGTTTTTGATCAGGTAAGTAATAAAAAGAAATTAATAACGATTCATAACAGACATGGTACTGTTGCTCGCATCTTCATCCGTTAACAGTGATAACGTAGCTATTCATTGACAAACGAATTTTTGAAAGCGGCCAACTAGTTTTAAGTTACTTCAATACATACAAAAATCCTAATCTTTCCTCTTTACAATGTTGAATAGAATAATTCTGAAGCTAAAATATCCTTTACAGGAAACTCGAGTTTGTGAAAGAGTAGATGAAGTAGATTGCACAAAGTCAGAGAAGTTCTACAGTTTAAATTTAGAATTATACGGGAGTACTGCACCACCTATTATACAACCAGACACAAGCAGTAAACCACAAACTAAACCAACCGAACAGTCATATACTATAACTACTAAAACCAGTACAGAGGAATTATCGGATCCCTTCGTAAATGAAAATCCGACGTCATCAAATGACAAGACACAAGACTTGTCTCCAGACACATTAGACTCAACAGATGATCCAATACAAGATGTAAGAAAAGAAGAACAAAAAGTAACTAAAGGTCCGTCAACACAGACGACACCCTTAAAGAATATTGGATCAATGAACGATGGTAAATATCACATAATAAAACTGTTTGTAAAGTAATAGTTTTAGTTAAGTGGAAAATGTAATTTATATTAAAAAATAATATTTTTCAGAATACCGAGTAGAAGATGACATTGACGATGAATATGAGGAATTTTACTCCCATCCTGCTACAACTTCCAGTTCGCAATCAATAATTACAACAACATCAACGACGACTCAACCGCCTGTACCTAGAACATCAACAACTACATCAACAACGAGACGGCCGCCTTCTACTTCGTCCACAATATCATCACAAGCCCCTGTGATACACTCTTCTTCAACGCCATCCACTCCACCTTTAACTACTATCGACCCATCACTTCTTTCTCCACAAGAATTCATATATCGCCATCGTGGCCCAGGATCGGAGGCTATTTCTTTTCAGCGTCAAAGTTTCCGCCCTGCCGATGGTGTGTTCATAACCCACGCTCCGCCACAACAATTCGATCATTTTCAATATGAATCTTCAAGAACAGCACCGCGCCCTGTATCCCGCCCTACACCATTTGTACAGAGACCACAACCGTTCCGAGCTACTACTCATGACCCGAGAGATCAACTCCTGCGCCCAGGACCTTCCTCTCAGTCATCTGAGAGGCACGAAACGTCCGTAAAACATCGCTCACCTTCAGCGTTACCTTCACAACAAACATTACCGTTTAATTTTTACTACGACCGAAAACGAAGCGACGATCTATCATCCGAAAAAGAGTCACCTCCAAGTGCTCGATCAGTGGCCCCACCAACTATTGCAGAAAGACCATTCAATAAACCGAAAAGTCCCCCACGAGTTATCGTTACCGCTAGTGCCTCAGTTAGTGATAGTAATGGGAAGAAATTGAACTATACCGTAGGTAATGTAGTTAGCGCCGTAAAACCTATTGTAGCAATAAATTACGACGATTACAAAGAATCCGATCTTATTTTCGATCCCTTCTTTCTTGATGTGCCAAAACTTAATAAGCGAAGAAAAACAAGATCGAACAAACACAGAAAAGTATTTACAGTTCCTGCAACGGCAACTATACCTACGAACCTAATTTCCAAAAGTAGTATTGAATCGACGCTCCCTCCAGCTACTTCTAGAGCGACTACAGTTAAAATGACCTTTACAACACCCTCTACAACAACAACAACCGCAGCCTGGAATCCTGAAGATTATGTCGACGACAATTATGAACCTCACGCATATCTGCCACCCATTCCCCCACTAGCCGTTTTCGTATCTCAGGAACGTGTCAAACATGGAAAAGTCGAAAAAGAGTCGAGAAATGTAGGTAAAGATGAATTGAATCCAATAGAATTATCAACAAAAAACGTTGGTCGCAAGGATGAGTCCCGGCCGACGGCGTCTGCGGTGCAGATGGTCTCTAGTCAAAGTGCGGGTGTTGCGGCGGCGCGTGACGTCACGCCGAGCGCGCCGCCCCCCGCGCAGGCCCCCGCCTGCGCCTCATCGCACTCCACTGACTGTCGAAATCGTGCCTAATAAATAGCTCACTTTATATGTAGATTAGTAGACAGATATTTAAATAGGTAGTAAATTTTATAATTTTCCAAGCAGACGATGTGTTACTGTGTTTCTATTTAATTTGTTTTAAATATTGTAATTGCAACAAGTCTTATTTTTGTAATTAAGTTAGTAAATATTTGTTATTCCGAAACATACACTGTACATACGTTAGGAAATGTCAACTTTAAGAAATATTTTTTTATGATTTCCTAAAACATTCATAACTATGATAAATTTTATGAGGACGTTTTGTACATACTTTATGTATCCTAAAATATATTACTTAACATTTTAAATTTCTTTTATTTCCCATAATAATCGTTTTAGTAACCTAGAGCTGCGCTAGGATTCTGCCCTCATTGGGATTCAGGACGAAATATCGTTACCTATTTTATTTTGGATAACATAAAATCGTTTGCCAAGGCATTAGTTGTTCTATAACTCCTTAAAGAGTTATCTACTTTTAAAATTAAGTAGCATTAATAACGAGACAAGACAAACATCGCCACCCCCAGTAATTTAATATTACCTTAATTTCACTTAATAATAACAACCTTTTTGGTGTAGTAATGACGCCGTTTTTATTGCTTTCAAATTGAAACTTCAAAATTAATTAAGCCGTCTAGAAATTGGTCAAATTAAAACAACCTTTTGATAAATATTTGGAATATAATTGTGAAAAACTACAACAATGTCTAATTATAGCATTATGAGTGTGAAAGATATGATCGAAATGGCTTTCGGAGATCCACGGGTAAGCATATTCCATAATAATATTAGCATAAAAAATATTAATAGAAAAATTTTGTTACAAAGTTACAAGTGTCTTTACACTTTGCCGAAAAGTAACCATTTCTACAAGGACCAATTTCTTCGTAGGTTTTAATGCTTAGATGTTCTGGGTATTACCAAGTTTTATTTAGATTTAGATCACAAATCAGACATGTGTACGATGGCTTAGGCCATTGAATTAGTTATCTAATTTTTTCTAAGTTAAAGTGGCATAAAATTATGGTATGATTATAATTTTTTCAACTACAATTTCAGATTGACGTCGTTAATTTTAAACTACTCCAGACGATTTTATACCTACTCGCACGTCAGTTACGTTTATTAGGTCGTCGTGTTGAAGTGAACGTCGAACATCCTTTTATGTCACCGCCGCGAAGCACTATAATTGTAACTGAACTTAAAATGCAAGCTGCGGGCCCCAAGAAGCCGAAACGAGCAAAGTTATCAGAAACTGATTCAACAGATATAACCGGTGAAAAAACTCCTCAAAAGAAAACTTCAAAGTCTATAGGAGGTGGCCAAGAGTCTACAAAAGGTGATTCCAAAAAAACAATAACTGAAGCAACAAAAAGAGTTACTGATCCCAGACAAGATGGGGTCGAACAGAAAAGAGGGGTTCCTGATCCCAGACAAGGTGGCACTGAAACAAGATCAAGAGAAACTGATGCAAAAAAAACTTTGGTTGATCAAAGAAGAGCAGTTTCTGTCGCAAGATACGATGGTAAATCACAGGTAATTTCAATAAACATCTTGTTGTAGTTTATTTAGTTTTAATTACACTCAAACTTTTAAAAAACTATAAATTTCGGATTACTGTCAACCGTCACCCCACTCTGTCGTGAGAGTGGGAACAGATGAGAATAAAAAGTTTCATCCGTCCCACCTTTTAGAGCACCACCGCGACTAGGGGACGGTTGGAACTTATTTTATATCATAACAGTTCCATCTGTCTCCTTATTGGTGATAGTGGGACTAAAAGTGGAACTACTCTCATGTGGGGACAGAGCGGGGTGATGGTTGGGAATAATCCAAAATTTCTAATCTAGTCCTCCTAACAGGATGACCAGAGCATATTGGGTACAATTGAGGAGAAAAGGGAACGTGTGCTACGTGTTATTCGTCAGGTTCAATTTTCATCGTGTCTTTTACATTAGTTTTTTTATACAGCCACCCAATTATATTTCCTTTTTATTTATTGTTTTTATTTTTTGTTACATGCATGAAACGACACAGGTGCGTATGCTTTGAAATATTTTTTACATTTCTACGACACATAACGCCAAAATCTAGCAATCTTCAAGAATTCGAGGAAATTCTGAATAAAATTTCCTTTTTATTTCATCACCTAGGCTCACGTTACTTATAGTGTACAATAAAAGAACATTTAAAGTATTTTAAATAACGATACTTCGAAATATGAAAACTCATCAATGTTACCAAAAACAGTTTAGTTAATAGTTTAGTTTTTTATAGAGAGCAGATTCACGGGAGGAAGCTGAAAAATCTCCAACTCCAATGGCGTCGCTTGATTCCATAGGTATTTCTGAAAAATAAATATCCTTTTTTAAAACCAAACATTTTGTAACGTACGTACGTTCAGCTTATATGTACGTTGCATTAGTCTATTGTCTATACATAATTGGATGTAATACTAAGCTTACCTAAATTGAAATTAAAATCAGTGTTTATGATATTTTAAAAAGTAGCATAATGTAAATAAAATATAATTAACATTTGTATTATTGTTCAACAGAGATGCAGTATGAAAAGCTGCTAGTCGGTATGTTTGCATTATATTCTTATGACAATTTTTTTTGTAACTGCAACTTTAATATTTGTTAAATGTTTATAGTGGAACGAACCTCTTCAGAAGAAACCAGAATCGGCGTTGAAGGTATTATTGTTTTTTAACATTTATATCTGGGTGTATAACAACCAGTTGATTAAAGAGTAAATTAGAGAATTAATCAGATAACTAATAGACTATATCTAACAGATCCTCGCTCTACACTGAAAACACGGAGGCTATCTGTGGTAACACAAGATCAGTTTCAAGCATTAGTTGAGAAGGTTCGAGAACTCCAGAGCCAGTTCGGCGGAGTTCCTTCAGCCAAATTTCCAGACAACATTGAACTAATGCAGCAACTAAGAAGAGGAGCCTCGCTAACTGACGCTATGGCCGCCTTACAATTGTCAGCTCGTCTCGAAGCGGCTGAAAAAACATTAGGTCAAATGTTATCACTTCTTACTACTATAGCTGGTGGTACTCCCGGAATAGACGCAGCAACAACTGAGGTAAATCAGTTGCAACATAAAATCATCTATTTAATTTTATATGCAAATTCATAATTAAATGGTTTATGAAATCACTACTTAAAGATAACAATGATGTAAAAGTTTATGAACTCATTTAGGCTTTAAAGAGGGCAACTCTCAAGGCACGGGAAACAGCTTACGGTGACAAACAATTGACAGAGCAATTCCGTGCAAAGGATCGCGATAAGTCACCAACTCTGAAACCAGCTGCAGTACATCCAACCGCACTAAAAACAATCTCAGAAGAAACCAAACAACCATCAACTTATACATACACTCAAAGTGCAGCTGGCCGACCAGAAAGTGTATTAGAAGAGCCTGTTATAAAATTTAGTGATCTAAAGTAATGTTATTAAAATATATATTATTTTGGTATAAGGTGTTCTACGATTCTTTTATGAATCATTTCATTTCAGCCATGCATTAGAAAAAATACAAGGCGAAATACTTACTGAAGTCAGAACTTTAAATAATGCTAATACTGAAAGTGCTGCAAATGCTTTGAGGTTTACAAGGAAATTAGGTACATGCTCTTTTATGTGTATGTTTTATTTATCAGATATATACCAAAAATAACGTTCAATTTTACTGAAATAGATTCGAAAATTGAGGCGCTGACACAACTAGGACCGAAGATGAATGATTTAGAAAAGCTTGTAACAAATTATGCTGAACAAATTAACGCTTTGGACACTGGCTTAAGTGCACAGGTGATGTTATACAATTATCTTGAGTATTTTAGTAAATAGTAGGTTATCTTAAAAATAAATCATACCTAAACGGATCGAATGAAAGATACTTGTAATTCATCATCATCCTTCTACCTCATCTTACTCTTTAGGGTCGACGCGCCGGGTTTTCGTCCTCTAAATAACTATCACCCATCATCCAGTCAATGCTTCCTTCTTGACCATGTCACCTTTACGCAAACCACGAAAGATATTGTAATTATTACAATTTATTAAGACAGATGACTGACTACCATGAAAACTTGAATCAAATGCAACACGACTTGGAGATTGCTTTGGAGACAATGGCCGAGGCACTTGCTAACACCGGCTCTGATACTGAAAGTATGCTCTCGGGAATCTGTTCTTTGTCTGCGATATTTAATACGCTTTCTTGATCTGACTCTATCGTAGGAAAATTATATTTACAGTTGTAGCCGAATTAAACACTAAACTCGGATTTGTTCAAGAAGATATTGATAGAGCAGCGATAAAACAAAAGGAATTAATGGAAATGCAAAACGGTCTACATATAGAACTACGAGTATGTTTAAATTTTTCAACTTACAAATTTCAATTATCTTATTAATTATGCAAATTCGGTGTTCAATTGATTAGATACAACCTTATTTGTGATATTTGAAAAAGTGTCATGAAATAGTTATTTGCTAGCTAAGGCTAGCTGGTTGCTAGGCTCCCTCTTATTCTTGCCTGGTTTCTCCTTCTATTTTTCATTCTATTATGGTGGTTATAAGGTCGTCGTGTCATATAGGATGTCCTAGGCTACCTAGAGCAGAAATTTAAATGTTTAAAAATCATTATATGGTTTAGAGTATATGGCAAGAAATAGAAGTTTTGAGGGAGGTAAAACCCGATAGAGATGAAGTTGCGGATGCTCTTCGTGATAAAGCCGGACTTAAAGCATTGAACGGTCTTGTGTCACACAACCATTTCGATGCCGTACGTGGTGATTTCCAAAAGAGTGTCGCTGCTGCTTACGACAAATTTAACAATCAAGAAATAGTCTGGCAGGTAAAAAATCTTGATATGAAAAACTAAGATGTACATATAGTCTACATCAATATCTAGTTCTAATTCAATCCTCATTCAATAATTTTATTCCAGAAAGCTATTGACGACATTTTTAGGGAACTGAGCGAAAAAGCTGACTACGTTCAACTGCATAGCTTGTCTAATGATATCGATAATAAATTCAAAATGCTAAACAGCAGAGCTCAATTTATCATGGACATTCTCGGAGAACCAGTCGCTGCAGCTACTACCAAAAAGCTTTTCCGTGATTCCGCTTGTCTGTCTTGTTCCACGCCTGCACATATGGAGCCGATGGAATCCGAGACTATCCCGAAACTTCCAGAATTTCCAAAGTCAGCACAGAAAGGTGTCGACACAGAACGTACTTCGAAACCCGCACAAGACAACGTATGCATACCGGGTAGGCCTGTACCTCATGCAATAGACCCAAGGTATTAAAATGTTTTATTAATCATATGTAAATAGGTAACATTTGATCAATTGTTAAGACGGATGACTTTATTATTTTCAGATCTGAATTCTGCAAACGTTATTGTGGTGGAGGTGCTGTAGGACGTCCAATAAAGAAAAATGAGGCAATAAGATACGTCTCTTCAACTCTTAAAACAACTTCCATAGGAACCGATGGGAAAGTAAATAATTTTTCATACTAAAGATTTTTTTACACCTAACTACGTAATCCAGTTTTGGAGAATAGTAGAAAACAACGACTTCGTTTCGTTATCCCCCTTATAGATAAGACCTTTTGAAAATTGGAAGGGAATAACAGGTTGTAGTTAAGCTCACAGTTTTTACGTAAATTAATATTACATTATTAATATCTTCTTCTTCTTTTAATATCATTAATATCATGTTAATTTTTCTAGACTTACATGACAGAAGAACCTTGTCAACCGTGTGTACCATGTAATCAACCACGTTCCGAAACCATTCAGCCCTTAGAAACTGATAAAGGTACCAAAAGGGATCGAGTTTCAAGTGTTTCTATTCTAAAATAAAAGGCTATTTAAATTACATCGTAACTTTTAGGGATTAATAATACAGATCTTCTATTTCAGCTCCAAAATTAAAAGAGGAACTAGTATCTGATGTAACGGCACCGTCAGATTTTTTCATGCAGGAAGTATCTGGTTTGGAACAAAAGACTGAGACGAGGAATGGCGTTTCTGTTACACCAACACTCCCTTTAGATGACGACTAAAACTGTAATTGACTTTTACATACAAATGTTCTTACAATAAAGGTTTTATTTATTTTTTACTCTTGTCTTATTTTCCTTGTAGGTTAAGAAAATAGTCAATGATGGATAACGTAAGATACCCCGTTTATTATTATTTTAGTAGCAGAAGCTGCTAGCAGGCGAAATATTTATGATTAAATTTAGTCTACTGTTAAACTAAAATCAGGACTTGCTGATTGATATACAGGATCTACCTTAGCTCAGTAAACTAGTAGATTCATACTGCATTTTTAGCTTAAAACGTAAATCTTAGAACCTAGGGGTTAAAGTTCAAGTACTAAACAGTTGCGAGTATTTACACACTGATGAAACATAACGGAAGTGTCAATTCCATGGATCTTTACTGTCAAAACTGCCATCGTGGATTTTTGAAGTTTTGTTTTGACATTTGACTTTAGTTTGACATTTGACATATTGTTAACAATTTCTTCAAAGTTATTATTTTACATTACAAAAATCTTTTATAAAACTAAACAGAATACGTATACGATAAAACGTAAGTTATTAGTGTTGTAATATTTGTATACATTCTGGTTCATGAAGTACGTTTGTATTTAAAATTTTTCACCATGTTGAAATCACTCATTTTGCTGACAGGTTAGGTTGTGTGCCAAGATGCATAAAATTTTGGAATTTCAAGCTGTAGTCCTGGCAGCTGGGAAGGGCTCTCGGCTACCGGACGTCGGTGGCAGCGTATCGAAATGTCTTTTGCCTGTAGGACCATACCCTGTCCTATGGTATTCATTAAATATGTTAGAGAGAGTTGGATTCCAGGGTGAGTTTGCTTATTTCGTTTCTTATTATTGTTTGCCATTGCCGTCTTATTGTCTAGTGGTAATTAATATTAAGAAATATATCTGTTACAGAAACCATGATTGTTGTTCTGGATGAAGATAAATCAAATATTTTGAGTGCTTTAGAGAACTGTCCCTTAAAAATCAAATATGAATTGATAGACATACCCTCTGAGGAGGATTGGGGAACAGCAAATTCATTAAAATATATCAGTAACAGAGTAACAACAGATCTTGTAGTTGTTTCCGGAGACCTTATTACAAACATCAATCTAAATGAAGTACTAAATTTGTATAGAAAACATGATGCTGCATTAACAACTCTCTTTTTTAATAATGGTCCTGAAGAATGGCAAAAATTACCAGGTCTTCCAAGCAAAACAAAACCTGACAGAGATCTTGTTTGTGTGGATGAAGAAACTCAAAGGCTTGTGTTTCTAGCCAGTGCTAGTGACTTTGAAGGGAATGTATCTATACCAAAATTATTGGTAAAAAAGTTTGAGTCTGTCAACATGTATAGTAGATTACTTGATGCTCATGTCTATGTTATGAAAAAGTGGATTATAAACTATTTTATTGATGCTGATAAATTTACTTCCATTAAGGGAGAACTTATACCGTTAATTGTAAAGAAACAACTTTCGAAACCTAAAAATCCTGCAGAGAAGAAAGGTACTTCTGAGAAAAATGTTGAATTATTTAAGGATATCTTTTATTATGCTGTGGATCAAGGATATGAAAGTGAAATAAGAAAAATGTCTGCATACAATGATCACAAACTGGGAAGCAAGCCTGTTTATTGTAATGATACATTGAGATGTTATGCTCACATACCTGATAAGAATACCTTTGGAATTAGAGTTAACACTCTCTCATCATTCTGCTTGTCAAATAAAAAGGTAAAATGTAATGGAATGCAAGTTGTACATTTAAATTGTCTGAGATTTCTTGAAAATTATCAATCTATATACTTGTTCTTGCTTTGTAAATAGTTTTAATTTTCCTTTGAAATATTTGCTTTTTTTCATAACTACAACATCTTATACTAGCTGTCGCCCAAGTCACAGAATTAAAAACAAACTAATTGACTAATGTATATTTCCAGACATTGTACACCTATACCAAATTTTGACAAAATCCAGTTCTGGAATTACATTGAAAAATCCATCCAAATTTTCGCATTCATCATAGAAAATCTTGTCTTTCAGATAATATCTCAATGGGAAAACCTGACAGGGTCACCACTCACTGATCGATTGCATCCCAACAGTGAAGTGAAAACAAAACAAATAGATGAAACATGTACAGTCGGAGAGAAAAGTTTTGTCAGCGAAAAAACATCAATAAAGAACACTTTTATTGGTGCTAACTGTACTGTTGAGAACAAAGTTAGATTAACTAATTGCATTATAATGAATAATGTTACTATTAAGGAAGGGTATGTATATTTATTATATATTTTTGTTTATTCCCTAATTGACCCCAAGACTCATATATACATTTACCTTATGGCCTGTCCCACCACTGGCTGATGAGGCTCAGATAGCTTAAAAATGACGTTACCGTCAAATAAGATAATAGAATTCAATATTTTCATCACATGTTTTACATGGATTGTTATCAGACAATTCACAATTTGGTGGAACAGGCCCCAAATATTCTTAATAGTTGTGACCAGAGTTTTGCTATTCTACTTATCTATACTTCTATACTAATATAATAAAGTGTAAACACACACTTCTTTGTTGCCTAAGATGTCAGCAATCACAGCATATTTTCGAATTACTCTTTTTTTAATAACAAGCCCTATACTTACGACAGGCTTTAGGCTATATATTTCCACGCCATTAAACTTAGGGGGCAAATATTTTGGATAAAATCCCTAATGTGGGAAAGAGACCATAAGTTACTGCCAACATCAAGGAAGCAAGGTTGTCATCATGTCATGTCATTTGGACATTTGCAATTGATAATTTGACAAATGTGAACAATAAAATAAAGTTTCTATAATTACCTGTAGATGAAGCCGTATGGGAACAGCTAGTATGTTATAAAGAGAAAATATTTGTGTCTTTAGAATTCTGTATGCATTGAAATAACAAAACTACACTGGACTAAAAAATTTTTTCACTGTTAAAATATGTTATTTCTGAGTAACATAGGCTAGGTTTTTTTATATTATTTTATAATTCCATGTGAAAGAAGTCCTGGGCAACATCTAATATAGCAATATTTCTAAATATTTATATACTTCAAGTAATTTATGGGAGTGCTAAGACTTTAATAATGTAGGGTTATTTTACAGATGTGTTCTACAAGATTGTATAGTATACACTGGAGCTACTCTGGAAGGGAACTGTTCCTTACAGTACTGTATTGTCGGTCCACATCATTTAGTGTCGGCTTCTACTGCCGGTGTTCAACAACTGTATGCAGAAACAACTGACAACATGATTACACTCGGATAAAATACAATGAATCTTTATTTAACTATTCTGTTCTACAAATTTTCAAATTAAATGGCGGGTCCATATTTCAGAAATGTGTTTGTAATTATTTCAAAACATAAGATATCCTAACCACAAATAAAAACCCTGGCCTTGAGATTCTCTGGGCTTCTCTAGTATGCAAAGAAATTATTTTCCTCAAAAAAGGGAAGGGATTGTATATTTCTGGCCAGGTTATACTTTCTGGATAGTTAGCGAATGCTAAACAACAAATCCATTATACAGTCAAAGATTAAAAAATTGTAATATGTAAATTATATGAAAATACAGTTTGATGACAATCAAATGAGTTTTAATTTGTACTTTAAAGCCGTTGCAAAATTACACTACTGTTAAGAAATTGGTCTTTGTCATATACTGGGTCAGTATGGTTTATTAGACTTCACAAATAGTTTTAAATCTCTATGAAGATATTTACAGGTTTCATCACGATGTTCATCGTAGAAACCTCTTATAAAAAGAGTAGTTACATTTTATTCGCAATCATGTGTCGAATTAGCATGGTACGTAACCAGTGTCATCATATGGGAAGGCAAGTTGCTCATGTAAGCGCTTAATTGGATATTAATGAGACATTCTATACATTTGTCAATTGCTATAGTACGTTAACTAACGTAATGCTCTTACAGTTTAGCAAACACATTGTATTTTCTATTTTAATTTCTATTTTTCATTGCAATTTTACTTGTTCCGTTTGCTAAAATGCGTGTGACAGCCCAATTAATGACGTCATTGTTCTCTTTTTCCACTGGGCTAGCTTGAAATCCCTATTCTAACCTATTTTTAAACATGTATCTATACTTCTATACTATTATAATAAAGCGTAAACACACACTTCTTTGTTGCCTAAGATGTCAGCAATTACAGCATATTTTTGAATAATCCTATTTTTAATAAAAAGCCCTACACTTACGTCACGCTTTAGGCTATATATTTTCGCGCCATTAAATTTAGGGGGGCAAATGTTTTGGATAAAAAACCTAATGCGGGAAAGAGACCATAAGAAGTTGCAACATCAAGGAAGCAAGACTGCCAAGGTTTGTCATGTCATGTCATTTTGACATTTGCTATTGATAATTTGACAAATGTAAACAATAAAAAAAAATCATAATTTCATGCGAATGAAGCCGCACGGGAACTGCTAGTAACTTATAATTTGAATCTAAATGCTCTGACCACTAGACTCAACTCAAAGCATTGCGCGAGCAACCACAAGTTGTTAGCAAATGTCGTTTACTTTCTTATAATCCATGTTGCAACTGGAGATTACCTGCTTGCTGACGATTACATTGCAGAATAAACGTGCAAAATTATTGATATTGAATTTATTTAACTAAACCACTGAACCTCTCTACGGTACAGATGGATTGCTACTGAAACACAGGCCCTATCAGTCCTTACTCATATACGAAGGATACCCTTAACCGAAGCACTTCTCTTGAAAAAGAGACTATGTCACAGTCTACTAGGGCCACATAAGTCTACGCCATTGTACCACTTGCCTAACCTTTCCTAAAGATAGGGCTTAACCGACTAGGTTAGCAGTTCTATATAGGCACTAAAATGTATTTGTTTTATATAGAGACGTTGCATAAGTGTAAAAGTTAAATGGTTATTTTAAAAATTACACTACTTGAATGGTGCCAAATAAAACTATATAACATGAGTTTATACCCTAAACAGCCGATTACGCTGAAATTTAGTACAGATGAGGATAGCCTGGAAGAACACGTAGCCTACTCACTTTTGTTTTGTCATTTCACGCGTACGAAGTCGCGGGCGTAAGCTAGTGTTAAATATGGATAATCGTATTTGGTTATAGCAAGCTTCGCAGTCTATATGAGAAGGTAAATATGTATGTTAGCTTTTTATTAAAGAAGGTCATTTGAAAGCATTTCAAAGAACTTTAATACGACCTTGCTTTAAATTACCAATAAATTGTTTAAAATATTATTGCCATTTGGCAACAAGTGCGGAACTAGCCAATGAATTTTTTTATTATTGGAAATAAAATTGAAAATTGCGATAATGTTGAATTTGATGTGATGTTGAATTTGTATGTACTAATTTGACAAACTCATCCGTAATAGGAAAGTAAAATAAATACAGAAAATCCGGTTCTATGTAATGTTTAATTTTTTGTTGAATCGTATCTAAATAATTAAATTTTAAATAGTTTTAATTACACGAATTTCACTTTCTCTTGTTAATCTAACAAAAGTCATACACGCTGGTATATATTTTGTATTTCTTTTACAGTTTTGTAACATCACCCAATTTTGTAGTCACGAATCTTCAATCACGTTCATATTGCGTAATATGTCTCCTCACTTTTAAATTCTTTTAAACCTAAATGTTTAGATTTGCTATATTTTCATTTGATAAACGTCTTTAACATACGTTCTATAGTTTATTTTTTACCTATACGGATAACTACAAAAGTTAATGCATAGTTTTTAATTAAAAAAAACTAAATGACACGCGTAGAGCATATTAAAACTTATTAGTAAAATCGGAACAGTTGCGGAGGGGAAAAAAAAATCACACAGCCGAAAACCACCTACTTATTAAACCAATTCAACCAAAAAAATCTGTTAAAATGAATATCTGAATTAAAATAAAAATCAACAGGTTGACTAAGTCAAGGACAAGCAGAAATTGTCTCCGTTAGTTATCCAGCAGTTTATTCCAAATAAAATATGTATTTTTGAAAATGAATCATGAAAGCACGGACAACCATGATCGGTCAAGGTTGCTGGGCACGGACATCTTGTATTTACGCTCTGTTTACATTTGCTTAAACGCTCTTTTGCTGAAATGCTCTATTTGCCATTTCAGAGAAACAAATGAACATTTACCTGTTTTTTTCTTAATCTGACCTCTTTAGATAAATCACTTTTGTTAGATATTTTTGTTCCATGTTAACTATACCAAATTTGGGTCATCATGAAATATTTATTTACCTATATAAATGCATTTAGTACATATATAGTTACTACAAAAAAAAGTCAACGTTTAAACTTATTACTTACTAATATTATAAATATGAAAGTAGATGGATGGATGTTTGTTAGAGTTTGTAGCGTAAACTGCTGAACGGATCTCGGTGAAATTAGGCATAGATGTAGAGGATAGTCGGGGAGAACACATAGGCTACTTACTTTTGTTTTTATTTAATTCCACGCGGACTGAGTCGCGGGCGAACGCTAGTTGAATATAAAGATAATGATTTTAAGCAAATGCCCTAAAACTCGAACGACATTGCTCGCTGTGTAACATTCCATATCGTAACTTCGGTCAGCCACAAGGCGGAAATATTTAATATACCATCAGATATATTATATATGAATACGTTTTTATTAACATAATTATAAATAATTCAAATACTTCTCAATTTAATTTATTTAAGTAAATCAATTAGATGCACTATCTCAGTTAATTCGTTGCATCCGTCACGGATAGTATAACAGCCAGTTCTATCCACGTCATCTTTTCCGGATATATAAATGGGATAATATATATGCTTTAAATAGACTCTGATATTAATTTCAACTATGATTTTTAAAATAAAAATAAAGTTTTCCACATAAATCATAAATATAAAAGTAATGCATATTATATCCTGTTACACGTCGTTTTACTTTACTTTTTTACTCTGTACAATGTTTTTGTATCGCGAATTCGGTGAACTACTATGATTAAAAAAGCTGTTTTAAATTTTCTGGTTACTTATTTTTTTCGTAGAATTTTCTTACTCACAGACTATCAATTCATTAAAAGGCTAAAAACAAATGATAAGTTTAACAGAATTGTTTTTTGTTTTGCGTTTTGTCTGGAAATAAACACCGAAGTATATTTTGCAAAGTGATAAAATAAAAAAAAAACGTATATGAAAGTGAGATGTGAAGCCGGCCAGGCGGTTGAGACTGCGAGCATTAGCCCGCGCGCGCCTGTCTGTTTGACAGTACTCGCAGAACTTTCCCGCGCAACGCACGCGCACTGTCAACGTATTACAACAGTCGGAAGCGTTCCGAAATTACGTGATTCCATTAAACGCACATTCCCATTCAATAGTGTAGTCGATATTCCTTTATTATTTTAGCAATACATTACTTAATCGGGTGTATAACAATACCTGTGTTTGTTTATTGTGCTATCGCGTAATACACCGAGTGAAGCAAAAGAACGAAGGACGGAAAAACAGCTGATTATATTCTTTTGGGGTGAGTTTGGATTACTTATTGTGGACGTAGTTGTTGCAACATTTAAAAAAACTTGTTGGATTTAATGCTCTACCGAAAGTACGTAACAAGTCTAGAATGATAAACTGTACAAGTCCGTAATAACTAGTTTATTTCTGCTGTACTGGGCATACTGGTACTGGTTAAAAAAAGTGTTATAAACACAAATAGTAACAATATAAAAAGAAAAATAATAAACTAATAAATACAATGAGTAAAACATAAACACGAAGTGACGGTAGACATAAAATTTGTAAAGATAAAAACTAAGTAATAAGTAAACTTAAGGATTACCCTCATATTTGTTTTTACTCCGACTTTAATGTTAAGTATATTGACCAATTCACTTATCTCATGACCTTGCATAAGGCCTGCACAACGGAATGTAAAACGATTTGTAACGAGTTACAAAAACTTAAAGTAAGCAATGAACACATACGAAAAAGACTTAGCCATATTATAAAAGCGTCGGTATGTTGTTAATCAATAATATCTTTCCTGTTTATTACAATTACACTAATTTTTGGTTGCTCTATCATTCTATTAGGTAATTAAAAGTTTTTGTAGAACAACTTTTAACTATGTCTGTATTCCTTTTTTAGTTAAGAGCAAGAACATGCGTTTTAATTCTGTCTCCAATAATTAAGTAAATATTGTTATTTTTCTAACAAGTCAACTTAAAAATTGTCACCTACGAAAATTTGAATGTTTGCTTTAATAGCTTATTTATCATAATACGTTGAAATTAGCGTGATTAAATCATTATTTTTCTAATCAAACCAAACATAGTCCATTCTAACTATGGTATAAAATGTTAGCGTGTTTGGACTTAGGAAGTACTTCCGAGCCCGTAACGGATGGAAGTGCACGATTGTGTGCAACGTAACCCGTAGTCCACGCCTCATTGCTACCACGTAACCATCATAACCTTACACCTGTAAATCCAGATTAAAATAAAAAGTATTAATAAAACATGTTGTGAAAACATTTAAGAAATACTGCCAGAAATTGAACTGAATTTATGTTTTACATAATGATTTTACATAAATAAAATTCAACGGTCATTTTTGCAATATAAACGAAACGACAAAAAAGTGAAACTTATCTTGCTTGTATTTTTAGATCAATTGTATAAAAAATAAGTCTGTTTTTAGATTGTAAGTATGTACTATAAACGACTATTTTGACATTTATTTTGAAATCAATTATTCAATTACAATCTATGAATAATTCCTCTCTGAACTTGTCATCATTATTTATGTCGTCATTTTTGGTATCACATTAAGATAAATAAAAAAAATCTGCTCCAATTCTTCAGAGTTTTATCTTACTGAATTCTAAAATACCCACATTATAACGGGAATTTAAAAGAACATATTGAAATTTAAAATACAGTCTTAAGGAAAGTGGTGCCGAAAATTTTTAAAAACATTGTTCAACTCAAATTCCTGAAATACAATAATAGTTAAAAAACAAGAGATCTAGACAATAGACTACAAAAAGGAAAGCGAAACTAATATCTCAGGCTTTCACGCGTCTAAGTAATATTGGTCTGGTCACGTTAGAATTTAGCTATGCTTAGTTTAAAATTAAACCAACCACGCTGTAAGTGTAAATTTTAAAAATTCCTTCTTTGTTTCCGCAAGAATGAAGTGAAAACTTTGTTTGACTGCTTAAAAATTAATGAATCGAATTTATTTTTATTAAAAAGCTCTACTGTTTCCCGCGTGTAACAAACATTCATTGTAATTAGGTTTGTCACCAGGCATAGTCGTATCAAGTAGCAAATTTGATAATAATGTAATGCAATATGTAAAAATCTACAATAAAAATGAAAAAAGTCTAATATAAAAAATATGTCCGAAAATAGTGGAATAGAACATAATTATACTAATACTAATATTGTAAATGCGAAAATATAGACGGATGGATGGGTGGATGGATGTTTGTTAGTGTTTGTAGCCTAAACGGCAGAACGGATTTCGATGTAATTTGGTACAGATGTAGAGGATAGTCTGGAAGAACACATAGGCATACTCACTTTTATTTTTTTTTAATTCCACGCGGACGGAGACGCGGGCAAAATCTAGTTTCCTATTATATAATTTCTAAATATCTTCAATCAATTTAAACTTGAAATTAATCCCATACATGAAATTACTTACTGTGTTAAATATTTATAAAAGTATTGATATTTTTTATGCTTACATAAGCAAATTGTTTATAATTTATCCTTATTGGTATTGACAACAAAACCTGTTAAGAGGCTTAAGCAATTCCGATTCTCAAATTGGATATTCCTTAACAAGCAGATTTACATCTTCAAGATAATTTATTAATGACTAGGTGACAAAATTTATTAACACATAGGTATTATAAATTTTACAATGGTATATTAAACATACACAAAAATTCATAATCGAAATAACAACCAATTAAATCTGATTCGATCTTAATTTTGTTAATAGTTAAGTTCATATCTTGCAATAGCCAAATTGTTTATCGATCTTACTATTGTAAATGCGATATCTAAATAATTAAAAAAGAATACAAATACATTTTCATAAAGCTCTTCTGTGTTGAGTAACTAAAATAAAAATGCTCTACATTTTCGAAATAAACATTCTGTTACTGTTTTAATTTATGGTATTAAATATAATAGTTTCTTACTGTAATTCCTTTTGTACTAAAATATGTGATATACGCTATACTTTAACAAATAATCAACTTTACAGCTAAGAAAAATCAAAGACTACATTCAAAACAAACCATCTCGTATGAAATGTGTAATGTTGCCATAAACAAACAATAGCTGGACATTGTTCTACAATAATATTTTGATTGTTATCACGGAGCGTGTTACAACATCGGTCGTCTTCGCCTTGGTCCGTCCACTATGAAAGCCGGGCACGCGCCTTGCATTAAGCAAGCCGCCAGCCGCCAGCCGCCAGCCGCGGACAACTTGCAAAACGCATCGCTTTCTAATGCTGGAACCTTCGAAAATGTGGAAAACTGCACCTTTGTTAACATGCTGAATCCGTAACACCACAATATTTACGAATATTTACAATTTTATATTAGCTGTGTCGTTTTTAGATCTACTATCGCCCTGAGAGAGATTTCAACGGCGCCCACTTTTTTTACCATGACTGGGGAGGAGACTAAGGGCCTGACCCCCCCAAATTGTAAATTATCTTATAACAATGTAACGTGTAAAATGTGTGATGGAAAAGTTGGATTTTGTTACCTATTTTTAAGCTATCTGAGCCTATATCTTAAGTGTTCGTCGATGTAACAATATAAAGTGCTCATGTTCAGTTGACCCGCACTTGACCGTCTTTTACTCACATGTTTTACGTAACAATTTAACACAGTCCATAAAGTATTGATTTTTATTATGAACACAATTACATCTCGGAATATATATTATGTTGGTTTACGATGAATAAGTTATGTTGTTCCTTTTAATTTAAAGGAATTTAATAAATCGATTTTTAACGTGGTATTATAAAATTATTTTTATGTAACATTTATTTATTTAAAATCATTTAATCAATTCACCGTTAAATAATTACTATATTACCGTATTTTTTTTTAGTGTTGCCACACATTTTCTCCAGTTTTTTTTTTTCCAAACACAATTAGAGATGACAATTATAACTATCAATAATACAAGCACTAAATTAGAAATGTTCGGTATAAACATTTAGGTAATAAATTCATGTTATTTAAATAAAATTGACGATTTCCTTTACAAGTATCAAGAATGTTATACTGTTGTGTCACTGGCGATTGAAAAACTACACAACTATCAGATATCACTGCAGCGTGATTTGCGAAAGGTATCTATTATTTGATGCAGGAACGATTATAGTTGCATGCAACGCGTTATATAAGGTTTCAGCTAAACTACATTCACGTATCAAAACGTGAGATTGTCATTTGCCAAGTCCGATAGTTTTTACATGCATACGTGACTACGAAGTCGATATAGAGTAACTATACTTCCGAGATATTTCGATCTATAGTATATCCGACCGACAATTTGATTGGTTCTATTGGTCATATGGTTAATCTGCATAACAGAGTACTCTCGTACCATCTAGGATGCGACTTGGAAGTTATGCTTTGTTCACTAAACTGTCAATAATATACCATTGTGATGAGACTGAACTAAGGTCACATACGTTTTTGCTCTAGGCGAGTATTCAATACCTATGTATGAATACGCATTAATAATTTTAGAATTTATAGCAACGTGTAAATCCCTGAGCCCATTTCTTTGTGTTCTTCACCAACGATACCGCTATATTTAAATCTACTAGGATATATCTTCATACTAATATTATAAATGCGATTTAGATGGATGGATGTTTGTAGCCTAAACTGCCGAAAGGATCTTGCTGAAATTTGGCATAGATGTAGAGGATAGTGTGGAAGAACACATAGGCTACTTTTGTTTGATTTTTTTAAATTTCCACGCCGATGGAGTCGCAGTCAAAAGCTAGTTTAAGATATAACTTCAGGTGAATGCCTTAGCTACTGCCGATTAAATAAAAAGAATCTTGGCCATTAGAATTAGTAGCACGTCTGTAGCAAGCCGGACAATTTATTTTCCCCAACACGTATTATATAGTTCATTGTTCGTCAGCACACACGAACAAGAAGCATAAAGGTATCTAAAATAGTTAATTCCAAATTAATAACAGCTCTTATCTATGACAGTGTTCTTGTTTATCGTTCAATAAAAAGATCTTTATAAAAGGCAATTTAAATTATGTTCAGATTAACGTAAATTAGCTTTAAAAAGAAGTATTTAATGTGTATTCTACTTTGTGTCAAAGAAAATTATCCGAAGGTATGTCAACATTACCAAACGTTTCTTCTTTTTCTTTCAACACATACGGTGGGGGAATACACAAGCTAATAAAATAAGCTCTAGTAAAACAATGTTAACGTAGATGCCACGGCCCGGTTGGGCG